GCGACGAGGGCACTTGCGTATCATAGTAGGTTTCGCGCCTCTCCCACCCCTCCAAGGAGGCTCAGCCAGAGCGGGGAGGCAATCGGCATGAGGCATACCATGTTATTGGTCAGGATTCGCGGCCCCCCCCCTCCTCCAGGGAGGCCCGACCAGAGCGAGGGCGGCGAAGGTGTTCTCCGTAAGCCCGCGAGTCAATCAAAGTTTGTTTCGGGGAGCTCCGATAGCAAAATTTGGGGGGCTTCTTCGTGGCAGCCTGGGATTCTTCGAAGCCTCTTGCCAATTGGGGCCATCTTTTGTGTTCTCCCTCTTGAGGCTGGGGGCCTTCTTGGGGATCTCTCGGGCCATCTGGCAGGCGCCCAGGCCTGTCTTGGAGCCTCTTGGGCCCGTCTTCGGCCTTCTTAGGGGCCTGACGGGCCGTTAAAGAAAGAAAATACTTATACCATTATCATAAAAAGTGCTACTGGCGGTCCTTGGCCGTCTGGCGGCTTGGGTTGGGACGTGGAGTCGTTTTCGAGGGGGCATGACGAAAAAAGCGGAGGCGAAGCAGGGTACGTTTATACATATAACGGCGCACCGGGTCCGGGGGCCCAGGGCCGGGACCCCGACCACAAATGTGGGCCCCGGGGGGCCCGGAGGCTCGTCGGACCGCCGGACGCCGTCCAAGATCGTTCGCAGGCGGCTTCGGAACGCGCTCCGATGGTTCCAGATGCCTTCCAAGACGCCTGTCATGACACCAAGAAGGTCCCAGAAGCCTCCAAGACGCTCCGAGAGGCAGCCCAAGAGAGGCCCAAGAAGCAAACATCGTGCCATTCCTATGGGAAAACGTTTATTTTTCGCATGTTCGCCTCTTGGGCTTTCGCCGCGTCCAAGACGGCCCAAGAGGCGCCCAAGACCGCCCCAAGACGGCCCAAGAAGCTTCCAAGAGGGCCCCAGGACAGCCCAAGAGGGCCCCAAGACGGCCCAAGAGGCGCCCAAGATGGCCCAAGAGGGCCCCAAGACGGACCCAAGAGGGGGCCCAGAGGGGGACCACGAACCGCAAGCTCGAGCCTTCCGCCCCAAGAGGCCGCCAGGAGGCCCCAAGGAGGCCCCTCAAGAGGCCCCAGGAGACCCCCAAGAGGCCCAAAGGAGGCTCGAGAAGCCCCAAATCGGCCCCAAAAATGCTTCGAACCTGCTTCCAGGAGGCCCCCGACAGGTTCAGAGGCTCCCGAGAAGCTACGTCAAACTCCCAGCGAGCGGCCGGACGAGGCCCCCCACAAAATCACAAGCGGGTTCCAGTATTTGTATCCTTCAGCGCTCTCTGGCCTTCTTCCCCCTGCCCCCTTCCCTGCGTGACCCGGGAGGCCCCAGGCGGCCCCCAAGAGTCCTCCAACATGGCTCCAAACGCTTCCAAAAGCACTCCCACGAGGGCCCCAGCAGGCCAAACATTGATTTTTTCAATAGTCTTGGAGGGTTGGCCTTCTGATCTCGGCGGCTGTCCGACGCTCCTAGGCGGCCCAGGAGACCTCCGAGACCGCTCCCAAACAGCTCCAGAAGCGCCCAAGGCCGCCCCGAGGCGGTCCCGGAGGGCCCAAGGCTGGCCCAAGAAGCGCCCAGGGCCGCCCACGAGGGCCCCAAACAGGCCCGAAAGGTGTCCAAGAGACGGACCGCGCTCGGAAAACCCAGGGCGTCCGCTTCAAGAGAGCCCCAGGGGGCTTCAGATAGCTCCCAAGAGGCTTCAAACATGGCTCAGGACGCCTCCAGGAGCACCCCCCAAGAGGGTCCCAACAGGCCAAAATCGTTCGTTTTACTCAGGAATTGGAGGATCTTGGCCTTCTTGTCTGTTCGGCTTTCCGACGCTCCAATGGGGCCCAGCGCGCCTCCAGGTCCGTTCCCAAACAGCCCTGGGCGGGCCCGGGAAGGCCCAGGGAGCCCGCGAGACCGGCCCTGCGCAACCCAAGAGTTCCTCGGCAGGATAGTCAGGGAGGGGGGGAGAGCGGGGGGCCTCTGGCGCCTCGTGCTCCAGGAACGCTCCTCCGGAACATGGCGTGCGAACGATGAGGATCGGGAATCCCAATAAGCAAAAATCGTAGATTTCCTTTGGGGAAACTGATATTTTTGGCGTGTTTGCCTTTTGGGCGTCCACTGCGCCAGGGGGCGCCAGGTGCGACAGGTGCGACAAGTGCGCCCGCAGGGGACAGGGAGTCCTCAAAGTGGTCCGCGTAGGACGTACCTCTGCTGGGCCTCCCAGGAACTTACGAAAGTGGCGACAGTTGCCAGATCGCAGCCCCGCAGGGGACAGGGAGGCCTCAAAGTGGTCCGCGTAGGACGTACCTCCGCTGGGCCTCCCAGGAACCCACGTAAGTGGCGACAGTTGCGCAGATCGCAGCCCCGCAGGGGACAGGGAGGCCTCAAAGTGGTCCGCGTAGGACGTACCTCCGCTGGGCCTCCCAAGAGCCCACGAAAGTGGCGACAGTTGCGCAGATCGGAGCCCAGCAGGGCACCGCGAACACAGGAGAGAAGAAGGAGGAGAGGGCGGGAGGTGGATACCACAGTGCTCTATTCAAAACGAGTACCCAACACAAGGAGGGTAGGGAAAAAAGGGAATTCCCAGAATTCCAGTTTGTTGTGTTTTTTTTGTTATTGTTCTCTCTCTCTCTCTGTTTTTGTTTTTTTGTTGTTGTTTTTTCTCCAATATATATATATATATATATATATATATATTATATAGATAATATATATTATTAATATATATATATATATATATATATATATAGTGGGACTCTGACTCGGAGATCCCGCACATCCCCTGACATTTGGCCAGTACCGCGCCTCCCGGCTTCCCGGGGGACCCCCAAGACGCCCAAAGACAGCCCAAGACGACCCTAAGGAGCCCCCAGAGCGTAAATAACGGCCCAACACGCTCCCGCGCAGCCCGAGACACGGCTCTCCAGGCCTACAGGAGGCCTCCAGAACCCCCAGGGGGTCCGGAAGAACCAACACCCCTGAGGAGCCGGGCTAACAAAACCCACGAGGCACAAACAAAACACAGCGCCGAACGACGCCGATGAACTGGAAAAAATGGACATCCCACAATTCCTTTTTCTTGTTTTTCAAGTTTGGCCCCCGGTCTATTCTCGCACAACACACCACAATTCAGACCCCGTCACCTCCCCAAAAAAACCTAGGAAGCATTTGAGGGCCCCAGATCGTTGAATACCCAAAGGAAATGAATTAATGATTTCTGCGTTTCCGCATTTCCCTTCTATACGATTCCGAGGCTTGCGCAGGGCCTCCAAGGGAGTCCCTGGACGCAGGAAGCGACCAAAATGAGATTACATGAGTTGGCCGATCAAGCCTAGCTAGATCTTGAGCGCGCGCGAAGCGCGCGCGTTTTTTTTTTTTTTTTTTTTTTTTTTTTCTTTTGTGTTCTCATCTCTCTCTCTCTCTCTATATATATATATATTGATACAATTGGCAGGTGTGTGCCCAGGCTCATACCAACAAGCAACTGAAGCGTGTTGAAAGCAGTAGTGACATTCAACACGCAGTCGCACTCAGAGCGCAAGTGGGGTTCCAACACCTTGCGATGTGTTAAACCAGGGCCCCCCAGGAAAGCTCAGGAGGCCCGACTTTGGATTACCAAGAGGCTCCAGAGCCCCAGGATTGTGAGAATTGTGTGGTGTGTGATGTTTGGTGGCTTTGTTGGTGCGTTCTTTTGGTGTGTTGTCCGGTGTTGTGGGTGTGTGTTGTCGGTGTTGTGTGTGTGTATGTTATGTTTGTCTAGCGTGTGATGTGTTGGGCGTGATTTGTGTCTCTGTGTGTGCATGTAGTTCTGAAGCCCCAGGAGGCCCCAGGAGGCCCCAGGCAGCCTCAGCAGGCCCAGGAGAACTCCAGGAGGCTCCGAGGCGGGGTCTGGGGTACCAGAAAGTCCAGAAAGCCCCAGGAGGCCCCAGGAGGTTCCAGGAGGCCCCCAGGAGGCTCCGAGGAGGGGTCTGGGGCTCGATTTTGGGAGGATGTCTCAGGCGAAACCGCCATTCTCTGAGAATCGGGGTCAAAATTATTGAAATTACCATGTGTTTTTGAAGATTTTGTGTTAAAATGTTGAAATTCCCATGTGTTTTTGGACCTCTCCTTCACGATCTGCGTGAGGGGTGCCACCGATTTTCAGAATTTCGAGGATGTCCCGAGCGAAACGGCCAGGCGAAACCGCCATTCTCTGAGAATCGGGGTCAAAATTATTGAAATTACCATGTGTTTTTGAAGATTTTGTGTTAAAATGTTGAAATTCCCATGTGTTTTTGGACCTCTCCTTCACGATCTGCGTGAGGGGTGCCACCGATTTTCAGAATTTCGAGGATGTCCCGAGCGAAACGGCCAGAAAAATCGAAGACGCACGCACGCACGGACGCACGGACGCATTAATCCCCTCTGAGCTCTACTCCCTCGGAGAGGTGCGTATGAGAATATATATATATATATATATATATATATATATATATATATATATACTCTCTCTCTCTCGTATATAATGGATAGGGGGTCCCGGGCACCCCAAAGTGCACTGATCTATCTTCTGGCCGTTTCGGGCTCGGCGGGGGGCGCCAAACAACGTCAAAGGGGGGCAAGAGGGCGCCAAGATGACCCAAGAACGTTTGAAGAGAGCCCAAGACCGCACAAGAGCGTTTCAGAATTGGTCAAACATGGCTTAAAGACAGCCCGAGAGTGCTTCAAGACGGCCAAGATGCTCTCAAAAGGACTCCCACGAGGCACTCAGGAGGCGAACAAAGTGTTAGTTTCGATGGTTTTTGAAGGTTTTTCGTGTTCTCGCTGTTTCGTGTTTCCGACTGTCCAAGACAGCCCACGAGGGCCCAGAAATCAGCTCAGCGCGGCCTACGAGACACCCAAAAAGGGCGCCACGACGGCGCAAGAGAGCCCCAAGACGGCCCAAGCGCGCCCCCCAAGACGGCCCACGAGGCGCTCAAGATCGCCCAAGAGGGCCCCAAGACGGCCCCAATCCGCAGCCATTTTGGCTCAAGTGTTTTTCTGCCTCGACGGCGGCCGCGCCCTGTCCCCCTCCGGTGCCGTGGGGCCGCCCCGCCAAGGGGAGGAGCGCCCTCCCCTCTTCGAGCATGGCCCGCGATCGGGCCACTCGACGAGCCGAGGCGGCGTGCCGCCAGTCCGCGCCCACGTCCGCCTCGCGCCTCGCCGCGGCGCGGCCGGACGCGAAGCCGGAGCCCCCCAGGCCGCCTCTGCACAAACCCTCGGACGTCATGTGGGAGGTGCCTCCGCTGTACTTGCCGACTGTGTGCTTCGAGCTGCATTCACCGAGGAGACTTGCGAGCGGTGGTTCGTCGCTCTGCAGCACTCCTGGGCGCACCGCTGGCGGAGACTCCGCGGAGGGAGACTTCCCGCGGGCCGACGGCGAGAGCGAGGACCACGACGAGGCCTGCATTTTCTCGTTCGAGGAGGACGAGTCCAAGCCGACGTGGAGTTACTCCACCGGCGGGCCCGCGCAGATGCACCTGGTTGAGCTGGAGGGGGACGAGGCCGAGGACATTGGCCAGCGCAAGCACGTCGACATTTGGAGGCAGTCGCGGAGCTCGAAGCAGGCGTTCGGAACTGTCGGCGCGGAACCCGACCGGCTTGGCGCCAGCCCCGTGCTCCTGTCAGCCCTCGAGCGGGTGGCCGCCGAGGCTGGGAGCTTCGACGCGTCCGATGCGGCCGCCGCAGGCTGGCGCCAGTGAGCCGCCCTGGGCGCCGCCGCCCCGGGGGCCACCGAGAGGTGAGGGCTCGAGGCGTGCGGGCGCCGAAAGGCTGCGGCCGGCGGTGCGCGGGCGGCCCTCTGCGCGCGCAGATCTGGGGCGCACGTCGCCGGGGAAGGGGAGGGGGCGGAGGGGGCGGGGGAGGGGTGACGCGCCCGGCCAGATTGATCGATTGTTTATTCACTGTTTAACTGAACCCTGGCCCGTTTCTCCACAGTCTCTCTCGTGCCCATCATTTGATTGTATCCTCTCTCGCCACGCCTCCCTCAAAATTTTGGAGTTCTTTAACAAAAAGGCGGCACAACGTCTGCCGGCCAGTCCGCGCTGGCTGAATTCCGTTTAAAGCTGGCACGGGAGGTGGTTGGAGCGTGCCCCATTGTTGCAGATGCCCCACCCCCTCCCCTATCTCGGCAGCCGCTCCAATACAGCGGGCCGCTTTTCAGCGCCCGTCCAGCACAGCTCGTGGCCATCGGGCGTCGCATGGCACTCGACCATGGCAATTGGCGTGCATGGTATGGTCGGCAAGACCACAGCCACGATCATGGCCACCAGTACCCAGCCAGCACCACCATGGACATCTGTCCTAGGGGAGGTTGCAGAGAGACGCGCCACGTCAGCTAGATCGCGCCCTCAGCTCGCCGCGTACCCTGCTTGCGCGGCTACAGGCGGGGCACGCGGGCTTCGGTATTGTCAGGAGTCGCATTGACTTGCTCTCTCCGGGCACGCTCCGAGCTGCTGCTGCTTCTCCGCCTCCTGCCTCCTGACTCCTCCCTCCTTCATCTCGTAGTCGTTCGCTTTCTCCCCTTCTGGCAAGCTGGGTGTCTAATTGTGCATGTGCCCGGGCGCTCGGGCGTTGCTCGTCGCGCCAGGCTAGTCTCTACAGGAGTGCAGCCCCGCTCGCATTTTACACGCACGCCTCGAAGCAGAGGTGCGACTTTCTCGCTTGGCCCGAGCCCTAGGCCAGATGCCAAGACGGCTGTCGGGGCGGCTGAAGACGGGCCCCGAGGTTTTGACCGCCTTGGGAGCTCGACATTTAAAGCTCTAGACTTTTTATTCACGTGCAGGTCCGCATCGGATTCTGACTTCTGCCGCTGGTTCGCCCAGAGCACGCTTTTCAATAACCTCAGAGGATCAGGTTGAGCGAGAGCGTCGGAGGGATCGTTGGTGGGGTAGACGTTCCGAAAAAAAAGGCCCACCTGAGGGGTGCAAAGGCCGCGCGCTCGGTTTCCGATCGCAGCGGCAGGCCGGAGGCCCCGGCTGTGCTAGACTCGCGCGCATCGCGCGCATTTGAAGCATGAGCACGGGGCCGACTAAGCCGAGTGCGCGCGCTCAAGTGCGACGAGCTTGCAAGACTCGCTCTGGGGCCGGCGATAAAAAAAAGAGGGCCCCAAGACGGCCCCAAGAAGGGCTCAAGAGGGGGAACACGAACCGACAATTCGAGCCTTCCGCCCCAAGAGGCCTCCAGGAGGCCCCAAGAGGCCCCCAACAGAGCCCAAGAGGCCCCCCAAGAGGCCCCCTAGGTGCCCCACGAGGTCCCAGAGGCCCCAAAGAGGCCGCAACAGAGGCCCCAAGAGCACCCCAAACGGCCTCCAAAACATACTGGTGCATAGCAAAGGACCGCCTAGCCTATCGTGGCATCTCAGCGTTGCATGACATGGCATGGCACGGCACAGCACGACATAGCTAACCGTGTCAATGCATATCACAGTATGGTTCAGCATACCATCGTATTGCATTCCATAGCAGTGTTTAGCTGAGCCTCACACTGCAAGTCACGACGTAACATTGCCCAGCATGGCAGGGCATCTCATGACGCACCGTGGCGTACTATGGCATTCCAATGCGCATACATTACTAGAACAGCACCGTACTGCTCTGCGCAAGAGTAAACCGTGACCATACAAATATCACACCCCCGTTGTTGCTCTTACTGTCGTCCTGTTTATTTTAGCCTAGCAGTTCATAACATGGCATAGCATTGCATTGCATTGAATAGCACGGTATGCCGTGTCTGTGCATACCGTGTAACGCGGTAGCATCGTTCTTCATAGGAAACATCGCATGATATGGCTCAGCGTATCATCCAACATATTACCATAGCATGTCACGGCACAGCATGGCATGGCATGCAATGCGCACTGTACGGTATATCATGTTAATTCATTGCATACTGCATAGTGGCATTGCGCTTTATAGCGTAGCATGGCATATCATGGCGTTCCATAGCATAGTGCAACATGGCGCTGTAGCGCTGCATTTTTCCTGGCCCATAGCTTGGCGACAGATCACCGGTCGACCGGTCGATGAGAGCGGAGGAGGAGGAATAAGGAAGGGGCAGAAGGAAACATATGATGTTGACCTGCATTTGCATCTAAGGGGTAAATCGACCAGCAGGTCCCAGGCCACGCCAGTGGGGATAGGGATCGGTTAAACGATGCCCAGTTTGCCTCCTCCTGCTGCTCCTCGAGCCGACGGTCGGGGAGCGCGTTGTCGGCGCGCGCCCCGCGGGCTCGGAGGAGTAATGCTTTGTGGTGCAGAGTGCCGCGAGGGTCGATCCTAGCCGCAGGGGAGAATATGGCGTTTTTTCTGCATATGTGCACGTGCGGGTTCCTTGACACGAGTTTCATTGATTGCCCCAAGTGCTCCGCAGCCACGCTCATAGCATAGTGCAACATGGCGCTGTAGTGCTGCATTTTTCCTGGCCCATAGCTTGGCGACAGATCACCGGTCGACCGGTCGATGAGAGCGGAGGAGGAGGAATAAGGAAGGGGCAGAAGGAAACATATGATGTTGACCTGCATTTGCATCTAAGGGGTAAATCGGCCAGCAGGGCCCAGGCCACTCCAGTGGGGATAGGGATCGGTTAAACGATGCTCAGTTTGCCTCCTCCTGCTGCTCCTCGAGCCGACGGTCGGGGAGCGCGTTGTCGGCGCGCGCCCCGCGGGCTCGGAGGAGCAATGCTTTGTGGTGCAGAGTGCCGCGAGGGTCGCTCCTAGCCGCAGGGGAAAAATAAGTGCTCCGCAGCCACGCTCATAGCATAATGCACAATGGCGCTGTAGCGCTGTATTCTTCCTGGCCCATAGCTTGGCGACAGATCGCCGGTCGACCAGTTCAGCGCGCGCGAAGAGTATGCGTGGTTCTAGGGTCCCGGGGCCCCCAAAGTGCACTGATGTGTTTTCCGGTCGTTTCGGGCCCAGCGAAGGGCGCCAAAAAACATCAAAGGGTGCCGAGAGACGTTCAAGAGGGCGCCAAGATGGCCCAAGAGCGCTCCAAGAGAGCCCAAGACTGCACGAGAGCGTTTGAACATGTGTCCAAGAGGCCTCCAAGAGGGCCCAAGAGAGCTCCGAGAGACGTCCCGAGAGAGCCCGAAGATGCCCAAATCATTGATGTGCATTGGTTTGTTCGATGATTTTCGCTTTCTCGCGTCCTCGAGCTTCCAATGTTCGAAGAAGGTCGAAGACGCCCTCAAGACCGCCCCAAGACCGCCGAAGACGCCCCAAAAGAGCGCCACGACGGCTCCAGAGAACCTGCAAATTGCACACGAGGAGCCCCAGACGGCCCAAGAGGCCCCAGGATAGGCCCAAAATGGACCACAGAGCGGGAGCGGGAGGCCCCAGGGCGCTCGAAGACGGCCCAGATGGCCCGGGCCTCCCCTTTCTGTCCCTCCTTCCCTCCCACCCCCTCCTCCATTACCTCCTCTCTCCTCTTCTTCCCCTCACCCCTCAGTTTTCGTGCTTCTCCCTCCTCTCCTGGGACGGCCCCGCCAGAGCGCCAGAGAGGCCCCGCCTGAGCGAGCGGGGCATCGCTATACCCTATCATTTCACAAGTTGCTTTGCCCGTCACACCCCTCAAGGGCGGCCCCGGCAGAGCGAGAGGGGTGTTGCTATAGCATATACAGTCCCTGTTACGTTTTGCTCTTCCCACCGCACCCGAAGTAGTTCCGTTAGAGCGCACGGGATGTGGTTATACCATAGTTTTCCTCAGGTTTCGTGCTCTTCCCTCCCCTCCTGGGCAAGCCCCGCCAGAGCGCCAGGGAAACCCCCGTTAGAGATAGCAGGACATCCCTACACCATACTCTTTCACGCGGCTTTTGCTCCTCCCACCCTTGCAAGGCGGACCCGCCCGAGCGAGCGGGGTGTGGCTATACCATACAATAGTTTTGGTTTCGTGCCCCTCCCCCACCTCCTGAAAGGCCTCGCCAGAGCGCGAAGAAGGTACCGCCAGAGGTCCCGTCAGAGCTCCACGCAACCCCATACATGGGACTTGCCAGGCAAATCATTGAGCATCCCCCGTGACCCCGAGCCTTCTGTTCCCACGGGTGCGATTATCGCCGGCATGAGGTTTGGCGTCCAGCACAAAGAAGTTTCCCCACTCCCGTGGACGGACTCGACAGCAACTGATTGCAGAGAAGGGCACAGATGACGTGGGCATCTGCGCGTGCCCTCTGCAAATATCCGACAGCTGAGCGACCGCTGTGAACGAGAAGCTTGGAACACAAGGAAGAGGAAAATAACAACGCGCTCCCACGCGCGCGCAACGAGGCCCCGAGCCAACCCCAACATCAGGAACCTTCAGATGTCTGCGTGATCGGGCATGGGGAGATTGAGCAGATGTGCGAAATCATTGAATGTTGCGACGGGGCAGAGCGGAAATGAAAGTGGAGAAACAAACGCAGTTCGATAAACCAAACGAAGGCGGCAGCGAGATTGTGAGGTGCGCGGGAACGTGGCGCCCCGCGTTCGGACTACGCGTTTTTTGCGTCTATGACATGGACCCGAGAACGATGGAACTCGTCGTTGTGGCCACAGCGGGGTTTACAACGGCACCCGTAGCTCATCTGCGACTAGAACCTAAGCGCGCGTAGCGCGCGCGTGGTTCTAGTCCTATAGGACTCAGAACATGGTAGACTCTTCTGGCTCTGTCGGCGGCCATGTAGGAGCACTCTTGGGCCGTCTTGGGGGCCGCGTGGGCCATCGCGCACC